AGATACACCTTCACATGGGATACTTTCGAGATTTGAAAGGCCAGACTTGATGTTTTACCATTAAACATGTTAGAAGTTTACCATCTCAAAATAGAACATCAAAATGAATCAGCACTTTTGGTAACGAAACCTAACCAAATATCTCACGATCTTCTCCTTAAACTAACTAAAGTAGGTTTGTTTCCTTGAACATAACTGAGATCTTTCTTGTAAAGACAGATGTAGAAGGATGAAAAGACTCTTTTAAATTAATTAATTAATTAAATTGACAGATGCCGCTGGACCTTTTATAGTGAGAAGCACGCCAAATGCAGAGGAACCTTCCATTAGCTATCATTGGAACTTTATTATGAAATATTTGTCTTTCCCATCCGTTTAGATTCCTGCGTATATCGCACAGTAAGTGAGTGATGACCTTGCTGAGATGTGCTGACGCGCAACAGTTAGCGGGCTCAGGTGATTGACAATAGCGCTGTGAGCGTGGTGGGAAACAAGATAAGCTCTAGCGCGGGCCGTTTTGGGCTTCTCAAAAACCCAAGAGAGAGGGAGAGACAAAGATTACACAGCGAGACAGAGGACACAGAGAACAGCGGGACCGACTTTGGTGGAAATAAAGTGTGACACGACAGACTGAGCCGTCAAAAAAAGAAGAGGAATTGTGGGAGTCCTTCTCCTTTTACCCTCTCCCCTCATCCGTTATCAGCTATGAGGGTGCTCCATCACTCTGGACAGTTTCACCCTCCTCTTTCCCGTCTCTGTCACTCTCTCCTCGTTCCCATCACGCTCCGAGTCCGGCTGGAGGCACTAAACGAGAATTGTTCTTTACTGCGCTGGCCTCATGGGCCCAGTCGAATGCTGTTGGTGGAGCCGTGAACCGCCTCCGCCTCGGAGGACTTTACAGGGTTTAGTATTTGTGATATTTGTGGATATCACACAGCATGTGCACACACACAACACAGTTCTACAAGGTGACCTTCAGGCTTCAGATCAGAACATGTGCCTGGTTTTGAGTCAAACTATGACTTGTCAATCAACGAGCCGCTGGGGTCCACAAGCAGCGCGGCTGCATGCCATCACATGTCTCCAGGCGAGCAAACAGGGGTCGGTCCTGGAACTGAAGTGGACTACAAAGGCTTTAATTCCGTCCATTGAGGGTATCACCATGGACGCTGAGTAACTATAAATATGACAATTACTTTAAATGCATTCACTACTGTAATGATTTGCTGCTTTGCCAGACTTTTTTGGAGGTTTTTGGACTGTTGATCACGCAAAAGAAATTAAAGATGTCATCTTAGTTTCTCCTATCCATGCTGGCTGTCAAAACATCTCTTCTTTGTAGCCACAGACGGCTCAGTGAATTTCACCGACTTCTACAGGAACTGCGACTGGATGACTTCCAGCGCTACATGATACTAGCCGTTAGCCCGTTTGATAGCTTGTTGGCTCGGATCGTGGGACGGTTCCCTCAGCAGAGAAGTGTGATGTAAAGGCGGTGAAGTCCGGTCACCTTGACGATTTCAACACTTCGCCGTTTGACGCAGATTTGCTCTAGATGATGTAGTAGCCTAGCAGCTAGCTTAGCCTTGCAGCACGCTTAGCATAGCAGTGCTTTAAGTGGTCCGTTCGCCACTCAACCCCCTTCTGTTTGATACGTGGAGTAATTCCTCTGCACAGTTCCTGTGTTTGTCGGTCCCGGAAGTAAACAAACGTACGTTAACTACGTTAAAATACTTTGTCGCATTAATCTCGGCCACATTAATCGCATAGATTAATGCATTTATGTTGACATCCCTACATTGTATACATACATCAAGATGTTGTTTCTACTGTCATTTTTCCTCCTATTTCATGTCATAATCAGTGCAGCCTTACATTTTGTACTGTTCCCTTTATGAGCTATGGTTGCACAATTGGACATTAAAAAAAGACTATAATACCCATAATACGAGGGCTTCCATTCAATAAGGTGTCATGCTGTAAGTAAGGTGCTATATTTCATTTTGTTTATTTGTTCATCTAATTCTAGTAAAACCATCATAAGAGGTGAGTGCATAATATTACTTTGAATGTGTTCATGTAAATGCTGTATCATGCTGTATGATGCTAGCGCTGATAGCAGTAGCATTGAGCACATCCATCGACCAGGGACACTGGGATGATTAAAGTACAGGTACCACAGAAGTACACCGCAGAGTAACAGATGAGTAGTCACAAGATCCAATCAGTCCTGTGTTGGTTTAATAACAGGCTTAGAGGAGAGACAGTGGGGGGGGGGGGGGGGATGAGCTCACAGAGTATATCAGTGTATCACAGTATACATGTGACAAAAACATATCATTTCTTTCCTGCGTTCCCAATGGAGGAGGTTCCTACAGAAAGAGATAGACGCTTTCCTTACCATTATAAGAGAGGCGTGGCTTGCTTAGACACATGATGAAGTGAACCTTCATTTCATTGGATGCCACAGACTTGGAGCAGACAGGACACTTGAATCCTAGAAAGAAACAAGAGGACAAATGGTTGAAATTGAGATAAATACCTCTTAAATAAAAGATGGCTTCGTGATCTGCGAATAACCCAGTTGACACATGTATATGCCTTTACGCACGTGTTATTTACAGTCTATATATTAAAAAGCCACATTTTTCGATTTCTTTTCCTAAAAAAAAAAGGTGAAACATGTGTTTGAGTGTTGAAACGATGGTACACATTTATCTTCCAAGACAACGATGTAAAGTCCAGGGAGCCCCAGTGATAAATCACCCATCAGCATGCCACTTATGTGCTGCGGTTGCTCTCCGGGGCTCCTGGATCCAATCTCGCGACAAAACCCTAACAAACTGAAGTAGAGCGCAGCCACGTCAGACAACTAACCCACGGTAGCATCATATGTTGGACTGCAAAGCCATTCAACACTAGTGATGTTATACATTTCTCATTGTGACTAAACGACGGATAGAATCGATGTGAACCAAAAAGAAAACCATTGGAATGTGGATTTAGGAATTATTCTGAAATTCTAGGTGGAATTCTAGTTGCTTCCCTTTATACATGCAAATGTTAAGTGAAGCGACATCTGAAGGTCAGCACGATAACGTGACATGAACACGGGCAAACAGCATAAATGATATTTACTGAGGCAAAGATCCTCTTCTGAGTGGAAAACATTTCCCCTCAATATGTTGTGTGATTTTGTTTGCGTTCAGCTTTTTAGAGCTTACTCTCTAGGTTGAGACTTTCTCGGCTGGCCGTGGTTGCACATAGTAACTGGATGATTGGCTCAGATTATAAACACAAATGAGTGTGTATTTAAAATAGATATAAGTAAAGTCAAATTCAGAAGCAGAACCATTTAGTGCCAAGTATGTTGCACATGTGTGTTAATGTGTTTGGTTTTCATGGATAGACAATATGGTTTAAAGTAAACAGTACATTTTCTAGGAATATAATAATTTTTAGAAAAAACTGAAATACTTCATTTAGTATGAAATGTACATTTTGATTTAGATAAGCCTTACGACAGTAAAATGTTTTACAACCACGATTAGGGCTGCCACGATATCAAATTTGCGTTGCGTTATTTGCGATAAACGATATTATTGCCATTTTCCGACCATTTTATGCCACTGATATCATAATGACAATATAATAGCACAGTAATACAAGTACATTACATTTACATTACAGGTCATTTAGCTGACCACGACGACCCGAGAACGTTTTATTTGTCAGGATATTTGGACATTGGAATCCAAAAAATATATCCCTCCAAAGGTTCGAGAAAATTGTGTCCAGAGGAAAAGCGCGCCGCAGCAGCCGGGAGGTTTAGCCGTCACTCAGCCGTCACTGCGTGGTCTCGACCGACTTCCCTCACAATTTTGTGTTTTTGGATGATTTGGATAGCAGGTTATGTTATACAGTACTTATAAGCTGACACCATCAAGCTCTACCTTGATCCACCGAGGTTCTTAAATTACAACTTTGAGTAATTCACAGATTCTAGGCTAATTATGCTTACCATATTTTTCCCACTGAACAGCCCTAATAAAGGTTTTAACGACACTATCCTAATGTAATTCTTTTACTTTGGAATAGTCGTCTTAAGAGGTTATTTGCACAGAAACACACATCGTAAGTGAAAACAACCCCAATTAAAAAAGTCTATAGATTTAATTATGTAACTGTCTGCAAACACAATCACATGTTTGTCTAAGAAATATTGTACAAATATTCATTATAAAAGCTTCAGAATTAGGGGCATAGAGATTGTGTAGTTGTACCATTTGTCAGGCTGCAGACAGGCCAATTACCTACACACAGAACCCCTCCGCACACACACACACACCCACACACACACACACACACACACACACCTTCACATGGCACCTGACCCACTTCTCCCCTGGCTGCTATTTTCAGATGCTCCATGGGGACGAGCAGGGGGGGAGATGGAGGTGCAGAACGAAGGTGAGAAATGCCGGGCATTTAAGGGAGAACAGAGGGTTATGATACGAGGCCCAGCAGGACTATAGCTGTGCAGTCAGGGAGGTGTGTGTGTCTGTGTGTGTGCGCATTTGCCTTTTAACGCAGCCTGGCACTACAAATCCTGGAGGACTCTTCATATTGAAGGAGTGTTTAAGGTCAGATAGAGACAAAAATAATTCAAAGGACTGGATCATAAATGAATTAGAGCGATGCCTAAGTGAACGTGTGGATGCGTGTGTGTGTGTGTGTGTGTGTGTGTGTGTTTGAGCGAGTTACAACGCACAACGCGGTGGATTGGGTTTCTGTAGAATTGGCGGTGTGCACTTAAACGATCGGCAAGCTCTATTAAGTTGACTCCGTCTGTCCTTTTCTTACCTCCTCATCATCATCATAATCAACACACATTGTTTTGTTTGATCATATTTAGCCATTTAAGTTTCTAGCTGGTGATGTTGAGAGACCACACGGGAGACCTTTTGGTCAACTGTAGGCCTGTCGCAACATGCGGTAAAATGACGTATCGCACGCTCTCTGAATTTTAGTGCTCCGATATTCACAGCTCCGTGTCCCTTTCACTTATTATTTGGGTTTTATTTATATAGGATATATTTTTTCACATTCTGATTCTAATGTCTAACTATTCTGAAAAATAATACGTTCTTTGTTCTTTGAAATAGCGTACTTTTATTACTATTATTATTATAGCGTCATTATGTTATCAATGGCGTAAAATGGTCTTAAAATCGCAATAATATCGAATATCGCAATAAATGCTGGTGCAATAATCGCACAACAAAAATTTGATATCGTGACAGCCCCATAAGTCACTTATTGTTGATTCAGAAGCATCAACAAAAACAGTATTGTTGCGAGTGGTTTGGATCGTTTAATTTGAAATGATGGATGTTTCCTTTGCTCTAAATTTCTGGTTAGATGCTCAAGATTCGGGAGAAGAACTGCACACACACCTGAGAGCACACAGGCAACGCACATACGCATGCACACACACACACACACAGACACACACACGCCTTCCGTGACTATGCAATAACAGCAGGGAGAGGCTGAATAGACAGAGCTGTCACACACTGAGCTGAATGCTATAAAACAATCCCATGGAGATTTATTCACGTCAATCACTGCACAGACACACACACACACACACACTTGCCAGGCGAGGTCACTCAGCTCAATCTCTGACGGATGCATCAACCCCTGGCAGCTTGGGCCCGGCCTGAGACCAGCAGCTCCCCAACATGCACCCATGAAGAGCTACGGAAAGAACGCGCAGCTTTACGTGTAAGATGTTTGCTCAGACCGGCACTTTTTGTGCGTGCGTGCGTTGTAGACGATGAAGAACCCTTGTATTTGTTTTAATCTGCAGGACACACAGGGGTCTGGACTATTACGATTATATCATTTTGTGAATCAGATTGTGGTCCACCACTATCCAATGAGTTGGCTTCCCTCACATAATGGGGTCAGGATCAAAGTTTACTGTGTGGTAAATCACTAACGCTGTTATTAGCTGTTTCTGTAGTTAACATCGCATTTCATTGTATTGTTCTATAAATTGTTCATGTCTGTAACTAGTCACATGTACAAAAGCTGCATAAATATGCCAATTTTTAATAAAACGTTGCATGCACAAAACGTTTTTGCGCTTTCTTATGAGGATTTTTATTGAAATCGGTTAGAAATTGAGTAGAAACGCCTTCGCCGGGTAAATTCAGAAGACAATAATCGCTGCAGTGCTGACAAAACACTTCTGTCTGCTGCATAAAATGGCTGTTAATCACAAATGCCACAGGTGCCTCTCCCCTTCTTTGCCCTTGTGTGTGTGTGTGTGTGTGTGTTTATGAACGACGGAGGATGAGGTAGGACGAAGAATCATCTTCACACGGGAGACCAAATAGTCTCTTTAAAATTCACGACCAAAGCCGGTAGTGATGCCAAAAAGTGTGTGTGTGTGCTGATGAACAACCATTAAATATGTTAGGACGTGCGTTTACGAGGATAAAGTTATTCACAACACAGACTAATAAGAACCGCACAACAATTCTAACTTCTCTCTGCGGTCAAATCCTCTCATATACACACACACACACACACACACACACACACACACACACACACACACACACACACACACACAGGTCTGGCAGGCAAGTTAGAATGAAAAAAGCGCTGATCCAATCAATGGAAATGTTCGTAGAACATTTGGCGAGGGTTTTATTGAAGGGTGAATTATAGGGCTGCAACTAACGATTATTTTGACAATCGATTAATCCGTCGATTATTTTTGCGATTAATCGGATAAAAAAAAGAAACAGCATTAAGAAAAGCATTAATTTCCAACCCTTTATTCTAAAACAGAACTGAAAATTAGAATTGCAAAAAAAAAACGGTTGATCCTTGAACATAATGATAAGATAATAACTTAAAAAATAAAGATTACAAATCAGAAAATTTGATTGAAATTTGGATTTGATTGAACGTCAGAACTTGTTCTCACACACTCAGACACACACACACACACACAGACACACACACCCATGTTCACTTGCTTATTCATTCTATTATTGCCATCATTCTAGTGCAAGTTAAGTACATTTAAACACAGCTTAAGATGACAACGTGTGAAATGACCTTAAAATTACATTATGAAACACACACGTATATTTGTCAACAATGACCGATGTGGGACAAAGCACAGATTGTATACATGACAACAAATAAAAAAATGAATGGTCCAAAAAAGGCGAGAGAATAGAAAATGGGTCTTTAGTCTTGCTAACTGCTTCGCTGCCGTTATTAGCGAGCTAACGCTAGCTCGTTCAGCTGAATGACGAGTAAACAGCTCGATACGTTCCTCACTGGTTTTGCACGTTCTGCCATTGACACACTTTTTTAGGTTATTTAGTGTGAAAAGCTCGCACACCTTGGACGACTTCCTGCGCCACGTGACGCACAACCGCTGCCGCTGCTCTTTCCTCCACGTCCGCGCTT